GTCGCGCAGCGACGATAACGCCCCATAAATCTTAAACAAATAAAAATTGATTAACTGATTGTTTTCTTAAAACAGATGTCGGCCAACTTAAACACCATCTCGGCCTCGTCCGTAGACGGGTAAGCCAGGATAGTGTTTAGGTGACCGACATTACATCCATAACCCTTAAAATAGTTAAGTCTAACACGTTCGTTCCGAACACACTCCAATACAACATGCTGAACGTCTTCAATTACCCTACATTCACTGCAATTGGGTGAATTAACTTTTTTAACTAGCCATCCAAACTTGTTACTTGGAATGTGCCCGGAGCGTAACCTCATCGCAATCCTTGTGTATGACGTTGAAAATTGGCCTTCATCAAACCACGGGCGTAAGGAAACTTGAGGTTGGATCGTCCTGTACCAAATCCCACATACTCTCGATCTAGCGTCGAAATACTCCTGCCAAGCGTACAAACACATTTCTTTTATAAATTTTACCTTATCTGTATAAAATGGCAATATGTGAAATGGGATTCCATCGGTAATAGCTTGTCTTGCTAACTGATCTACATCATCACTTCTCATTATTTGGCTGTGCGATGGAATCCACTGTAATTTTATCTTTTTGTTTTGTTTTTGTAGCTTTAGGATTGACTCTAAAATACTGTAGGCAATCGGAGTGCCTCGCTTAAGCGAGGTACAACGAGCCAAGTGTTGTAACGAACTTTTAGAATCCGTCAAAATAACAAATTTGTCAGAACTAATCGATGTTATATAAGCAAGGGCTTCTGCAATTGCAATTAGTTCTGCAGTCATTATACAAATGTCCGAGTCAATCCTTAGCTTTACATTACTAACCTTATCGTTGTCATCTAACATTGCTGCACCATTTCCGTTCTTATCTTTAGATCCGTCTGTAAATATCCTATACCAACCATCATATTCTTTAATAATAAAGTTCGTACAAATTATTTGAATGTTTTGCACGGAGTAAGTACGCTTGGCATGAGTAAGTTCTGGAATCGAGTCCGAAATCACGTCAGAAAGATCAATGTTGTTAATCCAAGTTTCGAGCGTGTACATCTCTAGTTGTTTGCTAATGTGAATTGGATTAGATTTCAGCGAGTTGTGGGTTGAAATAAGTAGTGGTTGCTTTTTTCTTGACCAGAACGCCATATGCATTGTGGAGGAAAGCTCCTGAATAGCTTCAATACTAGCATTTTTTTCTAAAGATTTAGATTTAAGCCAAAATTTTCCCGACAAATATTTTCTTCGAACAAACAGAGGAGGAAGCGATAATTCGTTTTCCATCACATGAATTGGAGTGCTGCGAATGAAGCCACCAACTACACGCAAAGCTTGGTTTTGTAACCGATCGAGTTTTAATAAGTTACTTTGACAACTGTTATCAT